GGCTGGGTCGGGCGGGGAGCCGTTCGGATACTTCCGGTCCCTCGGCGAGAAAAAATACCACTCCTTCTCACCGTACAAAGCCAAACCTGTGATTGAACCAGCCAAATAAAAAAACCTAACGAGATCGGAGATAACCGGTTTGGGATTGAATTCGGGTTCAAGATAGATGGAGTACCGGGGAGGTCCCAAGGATCGTATTTGTAGAGATCGATATCGGCGATGATAGGGACAGTGATCGTCTGCGAAGCGCATTTACGGCAGAGATAGTGCATCACGAGCTCCTCGTCCGTCGGATGGAATCGGAATCCAGGAGGAAGCTGTAAGTCCGCCATGGCAGTAATCTTTTTTATTTAATTCCCTTTTTACCCTTCGCTCTAATCCTAATTTCCCACCGAATGCCACCCGATTCTCTCTCTCTCCTCTGTCTGCGTGTAATTCTGCGGCGGCGCTTGAAACTTAGAAATGAGGGGAGGGAAGGGGAATATATAAGGGGAGGGAGGGGACACGTGTCGACGGATTAAGCGGTGGAGAGGGAGATTGTAGAGCTTCTAGAATACACGTGGGTGGTCAAGCCGCTTGATGACGTGGAAGTTCACACGTATCGAGAGAGAAATGAGGTGATGACGTGGCTGGCGACAGGGCTCAAAAGAGAGGGGATGTTGTCATTGCTTACGTCTGCCGGTCCATGAACCTCTGACCGGTCCGAGCATGGATCGAGGGCACTGGGTCCCACTTTATGTCTGTGTCCCTTAAAAGCTCTCACGTCATCTTCACACGTGCACGTAAAAAAAAAAACACAGATTTACCGTTTTCAGTTTCGCCTTTTTCCATGGATTAATTCACATACATGTAAAATACTCTATAATAATGTTGATTTTTTTATATTTTCTTTTAATAATTTAAAAATTCATCGAATCTTTGTCTCAATTAAATCTTTTAAAAAATTAAAAAAATCCATATAAATATATTTTTCTAAATAAATATTCGAATCCGGTTGAATCCAATTTTAGGTATAATAATGGTGATTATATATATATATATATATATATATTATAAATCATTACTCTGATTATTGAAGTATGAGATTGTAAGAAATTAAGAATAACGTAACATATATACTTTACAATATGAAAAAATATGTAGGAAATTGAGAGCGCGAAGAGATAAGCACGAAGGAAGGTTCCGCGCAAGCGAACAAGAAGTGCCGCCCAAAAAAAATCCTGTTGATATTTCCACTCCGATGAAGAGTGGAAATAGCAATTCGTTTTTGACGGAGTGGAATTAGCATTTTCACTTTCGGTGGCCGTTCTAATACAAAACAAAAGGACTTGCAGGCACATGGATTCCACAAGGTTGCTAGCCATTCATAAGCCGACACGTCATCAGTTAACCTTACCGCACTGTCATCGTAGCGGGACCCTTCCTCCGTGAGGGGAATTAGGCGTACGCATGACCTAAAAAAATGCGGTTTTTGACTTGCGGCTTTTGGTTTTCGCCACGTGGTTCAATGCACCTAACTGAAATTCGAATGACGAATATACCCTTCGTTGCCACGTGTTTTCTTGTTATTGGGTCGACGTACGGGGCATGCTATGTTTAGCTGCGGAGTCAATTTTCACGAGGAAATGGGGAATCCTTTCCTCCAATATTCTCTGATTCCGATGATTTTGTACCAAAAAAATGTGACCGATATTTTGTCAGCAATCTAATTATTGTAACTTACACAGATTAATATACTATATTAATCCTTTTAAATTTATCTATAAAAACATTTAAAAAATAATCAAAATTTGCCATTATAATCATCTAATTTAAAATATTTTTCCATTCAAATTAAAAAAAATCATGATCTAGATTTCAAATATGCTACAAATCATTTTTTTTTAATTTATGTCATTTTAATAATACAAATTATAAAACATTTAAATTTTATTACTAAAGAGGAATGACCTAAAAAAACCTATACTTTGGATATTTAATATAAGTACTTTTTTATTCCAAAATAAATTTTATATTTATGTTGAGTGTTCAGATTTCATATAATTTTTTTATATCAAACTATTTCATTTTTATATAATACTGGTTAGTTTTTATTTATATATTAAACCGTATATTTATTTATATTAAATTTTGAAATATTTATTTCATAATGTTTTAAAAATATTTTTCTATAATTTTACTCTATATATAAATTAATAATTTTAATTTTTTTTATTAATTGGTTATCTTCGGTTGAAATTCAAACTAATCACAAAGACTAGAAGTTCATGTGAATATTTCTCTTCAAATTTGGGGTTTGAATTCGAGACGAAACAAAAGATAAATGTTATATTTTATGAGTCGAACTATCTAAATTTAGGTTATTTTGAATTTTAAATATATTTATTTTCTATAAATATAATAGTTAGGTTATACTTTATGTAATTTACATAATAATTGAATAATTTTTTCTAAAATAAAATTGCCGGCCAATGCAGACATCATCATGGTAATTTGTTGCCAAGTAATTTTCAATGCTTAAGACAAATTGAAAAGTAGACAATGATTAATTAATGGGTTTAGTCAAGATCAACGAGGTTAATTGAACATTAGCCAACTTTTCCATTGTACTAATTAGGATTGAGCCTACTTTATTAATTAATATATTGTTTCCAATAATTTATTTTTCTTGTAAACCATGGAAGAAAGTCTTCCCTTATCCATACCCAAATCATGTGTCAGATTTATTTCGTACAGTAGAGGCAATCAAATTAATTATCATATTTCACATAAAAGGCATAATTTATATACAGTAATTTTGAATTTAACTTAGGTGTAATGATTTGAATTTAGTTTTCATGTTATTATACTCATCATATGTGTGTATATATATAGACAAAATTTTGTACTTTTAACGCTGATGACAAGATTCGCTGTGTATATATTTACATTCATAAAACTACATCCATGTTCACTCCCACGGTCATTGGTACTTATTCTTATCCCTAAAGAATTAAAATAAAAAAATATTTGAATTTCTATGATATCACCATTTTTTACGTGGAAGTGGACACGCCAACTTATACTTAACACAATGCATAGCTCGTATTAATCTCTTGATTCAAATCTTTAATTAAACCCATAATTATCATCATAAATCTAAAAATAAAAAGAAGGTCAAGAATAAAGTAGGTTTTGTCATGCTAGTCGCTCGACCCTCTTTAATATTACGACATAATATGACAAATTACGAATTATTATTATTATTATTATTCAAATGTATTAAAATATATATTCTTATTTATGTAATAAATTTTTTAATATATAAAATTTTGAAATCAAATAAAAATACTAAATTTTGTAAAGTTTTATAATTTGTAATAAAAACAAAACGTCCGACAAGACAGAAACGACAAAAGAACCTAAATGGTCCACGATCGTACGATTCTGGGCCGTACATTGGCAAATTGGCAAGTTGCGATGACGCAGCAAAAATTGACTTTATATAGATCTTTAATTATTATTAATAATATATAAATTATATTGCTATCATACTGTAATTTATTTCTACCCACTTAATATTATAAATATAGGAAGAAAGAAGTCTGTCACATAAATCATATAGAATCAGGAAAAGAAAATCGTATAGAAACAAGTTGATATATATATATATATATATAAATATAAGGAAATTTATAATGAAACTGATTTTCCAACGATGCATTCAAATACTATTCCATTTGATTCTATTTAATGAAATCAAAACATTGATCTTTTAATTATTGGTTTGTAGTTGTTATTATTGCATGATTCAATTACTTGGAATTAAGAATATATATAATGTTCAACCAAAAAAAAGAATATATATAATGTGTCATGGGTATTCAGTATTCTTGTAAATTGCCGTTGTATTAATTATTGCAATTTCTGACCTTTTTATTATCGAATCTCCCCTTTTTCGTTAGGTTTGATTATGTAATAAATAAGCAATTAAATAAGAAAAATGTGTTTGGAACTGCGAAAAAGACTCGCAAGTTTCAGTTTTTTGCTTAGGTCGTAAATGGACCATTTTCAGAAATTTTTTGTCCACGCCTCAGAAAACCAAATCCTGTTAAAACTTTAAAAAAACGTGTGGGTGTCATCGAATCTATTAATAAAAATTAAAAAAATAAAAATTTTATTCCCAAAAAACATAAAAATTAAACGTAAAATCATATACGCTAGAATCGGAATTAAATTTTTGAAATTAAAAAGGGATGGTTTCCCTCAATATTTAAAAGAATAAAAGGATTAGTCTAAATGATGAAGCATATACAACAGCATGATCATTTCTTTTAAACGGCAGATTTTCCTTCTCTTTTCTTGTTTTCAATAAATTCGAGCACAAAGGGTAAAACCGTAAAATCAGCTATTCCCCGACGGTAGGGTCGAGAGATGATGGTTCCGAGCCACAGATGGGGCAGATCTTCTTTGTCCGAAGCCATTTCGTCACACACTCCGAATGGTACGGATGGTCGCATGGTCGGAGAATGACGAGAGACTCTCCTTCTTGGAATTCCATCTGACAAACCACGCAACGGTCGATCCCGTTCTTGATCTGCGAAGATACGTATTTGAACTCATTCAGGCATGTCGAGATCTCGCCCGGGTCTAGCCCTCGTTTCTCAACCCCAATGAATTCCCCGAGGGCGATTAGTTCCTCGTAAGATAGCTCATCCGGGTCGATTTCGTCATCTTCCAAGAAATCGTCGTCCTCGGGGTCATTGCTGCTTTCTTCGTCACCGAGAAACTCATCAAGACCGTCTACCTCTTCTTCGAACCCGTTGCTATCGAAATACTCGTAATCATTGTCGTCCATGCCACTCCCCGAAGAGATTTCTTCATCATCATCTTCCTCTTCGTCTTCACCTTCCTCAGTTTCTTCGCCGCTTTCTATCGTCGAAAGCCTCGCAGGAGCAAAGCTAGGGTTAGATTGGCCGCCGGTAAGGGTAAAATGGGAATTAGCCCGGGAAGCAGCGAGGGCAAAGTCGGAATTTGCTTGCTCGAAGAAGGTTAGATCGGGAACTTTTCTCGGTGGTGGCTGCTGCTTAGGATCTTCTTCTTGGCTACCCATTTGAGAAGAAGAAGAAGAAACTTTGATTGTGGAGGGAAGCCAAAAGTTATGAGGTTTATATGGAATGTGTAAAACCCCAAAAGGTTTTCTTCGGGGAGAGGTAACGTGAGATACAAGAAATGAACAACAGTGAAACCCTAACAAAAAAGGCAGCTTTCATGCAAAGCAATACAAAACCAACTTCTGCAAGCTACGTCATACCTTTCTCCTTACACCAAACTAACATAATAAACTAATAGGTCACTCCCCTAGAGTTTCTGATTATGTAAACCGGTTTCTGATTACCGAAGACAAAAGCTAACTTATAGGTACGATAACCGTAAAACAATCCTATCGGGCAAAGAGAAATAGGGCGATACCAGGATTGATGCAACGGAAATCCTTCCGATTGAAAATTTAACGTTCATCGAGACAGATCAACCCATTATTCCTCCCATCAAGATTCGCTCCTTCACTTCCATTGCTGAGCTGCCAATATAGACAAATGGAATGTAGATGAGGAAACCCGATGGTCGAAATTGCCATGTATCTGTGCATTAAGATAGAATCATTCAGACTCTAAGCCATGAAGGATGTTTAGCAGAAGAAATAGCAGCTGAATTTATGTTCAAACAATGTTTGTGTAAGAAAATCACTCGAAAGACGAGAGTAAGACAGCTTACATAACATATAAGCGTCCACCCCAACCACTCGAGCAGTCTTGATCTATAGACGAAAGAAGTGCTTGAGAAACAGTTCCAAACAATTCCTCTGGCTCCTGAAATTCATAAATAACGTAACATTTGTGACAATATTTAGATTGAGGAATCGAAAATACGAGGTAGGGGCAAAATATTCACACGATCTGAAAAAAACCAACACACGGATTCTTGTTCTTCAGAAAAAAAATCAAGCATGCATACCATATCGGGTTTGAACATTGCTTCAAAGGCTCCATAAAGAGATTCTGAAGCAGTTCCAGCCATCACGAGATCTTAACCAGCTCCCTGCAATCGACAAGCATGGAAAATTGTTAGAAAGGTGTACACCATTTCTCATCGAACAACACCTTCATTGTAAAATACAAATGGCAGAGTAACCTTTACCATTATTATCTTATGTATCTATCAACGACACTAGAGAACGCGTCAAAAGGTATGGGAAAAAAAGAAACTTGAACCAAGTTTTCAGGAGGACGGGAACGAATACCATAAACAGAGAGTCGAAGAAACATTCTACAAACATAAGAGAGTATTCATTAACTGGTCAAAGCTACTTTAAGTGCTGACAAACTCGACCTATATTCAATTCATACGTCCGAAGTGAATCGAAAAGAGGTAAAGCGAAAGCCATGAAGAAAAGACTGGCCACCGATTGAGTCCATTGTTCAGATGAACGGCTTGTCATCATCTCCTAATCCAGCAATAACAGGTTGGCAGAAGTCAGGACCAAACATAACCTAAACCACAAAGACCACAAAATTTTCTGTCAGGTCAACAGAAAAGTGTCAATTCAAACGCAGATTCTACGAAAAAACCAAACCTCATCTCATAGAGAATGGCGGAAACAAGACTAGAGAATGTCTCGGTCTTCATGTCCCTCTCTTCCCTGATCTGATACAACGTGTGACGAAGCGCAAGCCTCTGGTACCTTAACATACCCAAATGTGTTCAGATCAAAATCCTACCCTAAAACCCTAACTCCAGATCAATCAATAGCTGCCCACACAGTAACAACTTCTGCAATAAAACTCATGAAAAAAAGCTCACTCCTCCCCAGAAGCTGCACAGTTCAACTTGAGCTAAGAATGGTTCGTAGCATCGAGAACGACTTACAGTGTCTGAGCATCGGTGGCAAGACGGGAAAGACCAATGAAGAAACGGTCATGAATCTTGTAGATCCTCTGGAAATCCGTGGCGAGGGTTTGGAGCTGTACACCTAGACGACAATCGCCGGCGATGGAGAAACAGTTCTTCTCCACCAACGCACTTCCATCGTACTCGACGATCTGCAAATCGATAAAAAACAAACAATTTCTCGATCATAAGGTTTTATCTAGCGAGATTGGAATAGAACTGAACTCACCGACATCGTTAATCTGCAACTTTTCCTGAGAAAATTTGAATTCTGGGCGCGAGAGAGAATTGGGTGAAATTTACCAGGGATGAAGAAGAAAAAGATCGGTGTTCATAACCGCGGGCTTGATAAATGGGTAATTATTATGGGCCTTTACTGGGCTCATAAAGGTCCAACTTTAGCTTTATATAATATATACATAGGTCTTAACGAAATCAATTTTCAGTTTTATCAAGGAAAAAAAAAAGAAATTTATTTTGATTTGATCCAAAAAACTTTTGCTTTTTTGGCTGCTTTCAGTTTTTCTATTTCGATTTTTTTTATTAAAAGGAAATGAAAATAGAATAACATATCTGAATGAGAAACATGTACATTTCCATTATAGGAAACGAATTAGACAATGGATATGGTTTTGAATTTATCAGGAGGTGGTTTTAAAGGCCTAAAAGGGTTTATGTAGTTTGGAAAAAGTATAGAGATTGTAAATTTTGAATTTACAATAATACAAGTGAAAATATTTGGAATTCAATTAATTAAAAAAATAGTGAAGTTACTGAAATTTGAATATTGTAAACCCAACCAGTTCATTACAATGTTGTTATTACTCCCCATCAAATATTTGTAAGTGTCGGAATTTTATATAAATTCCATAAAATTTAGAGAAAATATTGTTAATACTCCCAACAATTTTTTTTGTAACTGAGTTTTTAATTTTTAATTATATTGTTAGCGTCCAAGAAATATTTCCATACGTATATGATTAAGTAGAGTATGCATTGATTCAAGTTACAATAGTTACACTATTAAGTCTTGGCATCAACAGTAAATGCTTATTGATCAATACAAACCGAAAAAGGACCCCACCGATGGGAAGAGAGAAAACAGAAAAGCCCATTGGGCCTGGACAGCACAATTATCATCAAACGATCATGGATCCCGGCCCATTGGGCCTAGAAAGCTCAATATCTGAATGGGTTTGGGCCTCCAAAGAGTTCTTATTGGGATCAACGAACGTGGCGACGGTGTCTTTCCGAAACGTGAGATATATAACGGCAAAGACATATGCTCCCATGAGAGGGAAGACCGTTATTCCTATGAAGATGTTCCCAACTTTTGGGAGGCTGTTGTGTATTAACCATCCTATGAAACCGGTGCTTAGGTAATACACATTGATTCCTATTATCCCAAACCCCAGAACCCACGAGGTGATTATGATCTGCATGGCAAATTCGGGCCGTTATCGAAAACCTTGGTATAAGAGAATATACATATAATGTAACGAATGTATATGTCTTGTTTTGGATAAAACTCGATATAAAAAAAAAAAAAAAACTTACGAAGATCGAGTTCTTGTGAGGTCCCATTTTGGTGGAACTACTGCTGAACTTGAGAAGCGGGATTAGAGCGAATGGAAGTTCGAACGAAAGTATCATCTGCAAAATTAAAGTTTCGAAACAAAACTCGATTAATTATAACGAAATCGGATGTACTAATATATATCATGCTAATTATCTTTTGTTCATATGATTGACGATGGATGCATGTTTACTGACCGAAGCTATAACGATTAATCTCCCAGCTCCTTGAGATCCACCAATCACAGACACTACAAGGCTTGGTATGATTGCAATACACCTCGTCACTAAATTCCTAATCCATTTCTTCATCTTGAGATCCAAAAAACCCTAGCAAGAGAAAAGGCATAATGTTAATCTCGTGAAATTGTATATGAATATTTTCCACTTAACACACATATATATATATATATACACTTTGTATTGTAGCAGAATGTATATATAAATACGTTAATTACCTGCATGATGAATTGTCCGGCGTAAGTTCCGGTGATGGCACTGCTCTGTCCGGAGGCTAACAAAGCAATGGCATATAACGTGGAGCTAGATTTCCCCAAAACATTCTGCAAATTATTTATTTCAAAATTATTGAATTGTCGTGTTTATATATGGATGAAAAAAAAAACTCTAAACCAAAATATATATATATATATATATATATATATATATATATATAGTAGAGAAATGGACCGACCGACCTGAAGAAGAAAGGAGGCAGAGTTGAGGGTGAGATCGCTACATTGGTTCGAACTTTCCGGCGAGAGGTTATCGACTGAGCAAACGGTGCCGGACACAGAGACGACGGCCACGTTGATTAAGAACGCCACGAATAACGCCAACGCACTCTCTATCAGAAAAAATCTACATGCGTTCTATCGTTTCGAAAGGAAAAAAAATTCATTAGACTTAATGATCAAATCGAATTAAACATTTTCTAACCAACGATAGAACTAGAAATATTGGAGATGTCCGTTCAATAAATTGACGTATATATATACACACAAGCCTTCGAGTCAAATAAAAAAAAAAAAGCTAGTATTTTGTGAATTAACATATATATATACACACACACATTCGTATATATAGATAGTTTGTTTGCGTACTTATCTTAAGAACTACTCGTATATATAGAAACTCATTTGTGCATATCAAATATGTCCGAAAATTTTAAAGCGCAGTCTTTGGTTCGTTTGTTAGGGCTTTGCTTACATTGATGCCGCCGACGGAATTTGGCACTTTCCGAGACAGCACGAGAGCCGAATGAAGGAAGAGATTATGCCTGCAGTCGGTCCATAATTAAACATTACGAATAGTTTAATTAGTTTATATAAAATAAAATCATAAAATTTTGAAAAGAATTAAAAAAATAACGGTACGGCATGATGAGAGCGCCGAGGAGGGCGATGGCGTCGGCGACGGCTCCCTGGCCGTTGAGAGTGGGAACGAACATTCCGTTGATAACTTCCTTAGCCGGAGGCTTCACGTAAGCCATCTCCCCAAAGAAGCATGCGGCCATTACTAACACCAATATTGCTATCAACATCTCCAGTTTCCTCACCTATGCATCCATATATACATACATCTATGTTATTTGTATATGTTTGCATTGTATTTACTAACGTACCCATTTTATATTTTTTTTTGTGATTTTATTAATACAATTAAAATTTTTTTAGATATGTAAATGCCTTTTTTTAATATAAAGATCTTTTTTTTCTCTCTATTATATAAAAAAGATGATGATGGAATTTTGACGATCAAAATACAAAACCAAAAATACGAAACCAAGTCAAATGTCAATCACTAAACCAGAATAAACCAAAGCAATATTAAACCAAAATGTAATTAAACCAACGCTACTAAAGGATAAATCTTTTATATTTAAATCGTGTCAAGCTTATAAACTCTATTAATTCTTCTTTTTTTTTTTAATTCGATGTGCCCAAGATACAGTATGAAATAAAGATATATGTAGGAAAACTGCAATTCAATATAAATAAATTGAATGTAAGCAAAATATAGTTTGATAATTATATTATATGTGTATATATATATATATATATCGATGAAATTAGGTTACCCCATATCTTTGCAAGCCAAGTAGTAGAAGAGTGCTTAAACCAGTCAAGAGGACTCCTGACCACACTGGGACGTGGAACAATATATTCAGTGCGAAAGCTGTTCCAATCACTGCCAATTTAATAACAACCAACAAATAAATAAAAAAAGAGTAAGAACATTATATTATTGTATGATAATTTAATTAATTAGATTAGATTATTTAATTAGCATTTATTTTTTTATTTTTTTGTAATTGCCTTCGGGTATATCGGCGGCTATCACTGCAAGTTCTGCTAGAAACCACAAGCAATACTTCACAAATTTCGGGTACTCGGCTTTGCAAATCTCCGACAAGTGCTTCCCTGAAATATAAAAAATTCCATTTATGATTAATAAATTGATAAAATCCAAAATATAAATTTCACAATAATCATGTAATTAGTATTTAGTTATGGTTGATTACCCGTGGTAACACCGAGATTAGCTGCTAATGACTGAATTATAAGAGCGAAGACCAAACCAATCAACACCACCCACAATAGCTGCACAGAAATCCAATTTAAATTAATTATTTCGTTTTAATGGATTAAAAAATTTATTTAAATATCTATTATATCATTTGTCGTAAATGATTGATCCATATATTATTGAAAATTAACTACCTCATACTTGTGATTAGCTCCTGCTTGGAGGTCGGTCTCAACTATAAAATAAAATACAACAGATCGTTATAGATAAATTATATATATCTAATTTAATATTATAATCCATTTTTTAATGACAAGTATCTAAATATAACCCCAAAAGTTTGCATGGAATATATAAGCTAGATACGTGAAAACGACGTGAGAAAATATAAGAAATGCAAATATATATGATTGATTTATACATCAATATACATAATTTCTCAGAGATTCCAAATTTTATAGAAAAAAATTTATATAAATACACCTGAACCTATGGGTGTTTATCTTAATTATATAGTATTTTATTTTTAAGCTATTCCTTGCATATGTTTGGATACTGTAGACATTATAATATCTTTTTATATAAATAGATAAAAATAAATTACGATTGCCGGGATCAAGGTAAGCCAACGAGACCATAAATCCAGGCCCGACGAATGTTAAAAACTTTCTCCATCCATGTTCCTGTAATAATGCACCAAAACAAAAATCAAAACCAATAATAAAAATTAATGTTTAAAATAATATATATTATAAAATGAATTATGATTAGATTCCGACATCATCGGAGACCGCCGGTTTCTGATGAGTTCCGACAACTCCTTCGCCGGATTCCGGCGATCCATCAGCCACTCTCTGATTTTGCCTCAGCCTATCCATCTCGTGATTTGTTCTTCGAGATTTGAAACTAACTTGTGCTTTTGCAGTGTTTCCAAATTGACCCTTTTCTTATATATAGTTGCTCCATGACACTTGCGTATTCACAACCTACGTAATTGTATATTTCATATGCATACGTATAATGTATATCCATACGTTACCGACTCTCTTTTTTTCTCATTTTTCTAAAAAAAAAGCATAGTGTATTGTGGACCCTTCATACATATTTTGCTCATTTCGGCACTTATCATGCAGGGTTCTTATTATGTTGAGAATTTTTTTTAAAAAAATATCTTTGAAAACAATACTATATATGTATATATAGGATCCTAGATATATGAATAAACCAAAATACCTAATAAAAATGGAAAATATATTTCTTCAATTGAATTAATAATAACCAAAGCGAACCACCAAAAAGCAAAATCGAAAATAATTTTTATTTTGAAAAATTATTGAGCTTAACATAAACTTATTTAAAAGTTTAATATATAAATATCTAGATCAAACTGAATATTGTATTATATATATTTTAGATATATTTTTTTTAATTCATTCGTCAACAACTTGAACCCAAAAAGTAAACTAATTAAGTGCTACGAGAGAGACTAGGGTTAGTAAAGTTACTAGATTGTGAATGATAATATTTGAAAATCTAAACATATTTAGTTGAAAATATGTATATAATGAATATATTTACGAGCGTGCACACAGACTACAATTTACATTTACGTAATATACAATAACTTAATGATTCGTCAAGAAGGATGCACAAGTAATTCGAGCCTGAGCATCGAAACTAGATTTAAATGTTATAAGCTTAATAAAACGTGATCTTTAATTAGATTAGGTAAATAAATATTCTTTTCCCCCTCTGTCTGTTCTCTTATTAAATATAACCTTCACATTATGAAATTGGATAAAAAATTTAAATCAATAATACATTTATTTCCTCAGAAAAAGTATACCTATGTTATGTGGCATGGCATGGAACGCACCTCCGATAACGTTTAGTAACTTTTTTTAAAAATAAACACACACACACACACACACACACATATATATATATATATATTTGACTATTTGTGTGTGAAGGGAATCAATTGGTTTGGTATTTAATCCAAAGTTATATTGCATGCCATTTAAATTGATTTTAATTTTGTGAAGTCAACACTAATTAAGTCCAAAACTTTAGGACACTTCTATTTGTTTCTTGCCATAGAATAGGAGCTCCGCATCCAAAGGCATGTCACATGCTGTGTATATGTTTCAGTATAATATACAGGTCTTTATAACATATATGATATTTGTAATATGTTCTATAATATTTTTTAAAATTATTCAAATATCTATAACTTTATTTTTTATTACCTACAATAATCGATTAAACATGATTCATTTTATGACTACAAATGTGATTGTATCAAATGTTTAACATAGTAAAAAATAATTAAAGAAAACTTGAATGTTTTTATTTAAGAAAAAAAAATATTGATATGTTCTTTCAAAATTCAAAGAATTAAAAAAGAAAGAAAATATTAATCAATTAAAGAAAAATTCAATTTCAACCTCCCAATTTCGGTATCATATTCAAAATTATACCCAAGATATATATGTATCTATATGTATATATATGGTTTACAATTTATGATGCTTTTTGGTCGCTTAACGGACAAATCCAAGTGACCGTTTGAAATTCGAATTCAAAAGAAAACCCACAAAGTTAAACTGACAAGACTGTCGCAATTATTCCATTACTAACCAATTATATTCTTTATTTACGCTTACCATATAGGAGTTGACTATGACGTGGTGAAGTATGATTGGATGGTGATGAACCGTCGCGTGTGAATACACGACCTTGATAACTGAGTACGCTCCTCGAATAATCTACCCGTTGGATCGACGGTCAGGATCATCCCAAGAGAATTCAAAAAATCATCAACAGAGATTATTTATGCTAAGTCCACAAATGTCACTCGTTGTTTCTGTTCATCACTCTCTCTCTCTCTCCATCAAAATTCTCTTTCCTTTTCCTGATTAACTTCTTCAAGGATTCTCGGAGAGACATCGAGAGGGAGAATTCTTGGAGGCATTTTTGCCCTAAAAATGTCGATTAATCAGAACCGGCGACCTTCGTTCTCCTCGTTGACAATGTCGTCAATGGCGAAGCGTTACGCTCCATCTTCGTCAGAAAACTTCGGAAAACCGACAGCGGCGGCTCCACGGTTGACGAAGAAGCGCGCCCCGCTTAGTAACATCACTAACCAGAAGAGCGTGTCTCGGATCCCGAATTCGTCGTCTACTTCGGTAGGTTCTTCCTTGGTTTTCGGTTTTTTGTAGGATTTTATCTGTTTGGGTAGCGAGAAAATGTTCTTGATTTTCTTCAATTTTCTTTACTTCTCTGCTTGTTTAGGGAATTTGGTTGGGGTTTTGCTTGCTTTGTCCATTCTAGTAGGACTCGGTGATCAATTTTGTTTCTTTGCTATAATAAATCGTAACTTTTACCGGCTGATTTCGGCGTGGAACTAAGGAATTTAGAGAATCCAAAGGTAGGTTTTGATCGATTGGTTCTGTCTTTGATTCACATGAAAAATCCTTATTTTTGTTTCTGAAGGTACATTGCTCGAACAAGTCTGCTAAAATCAAAGTGGCGCCCACTCAACCTGTTGGCTTAAATGATTTGACGAGCACTGGTTTGCGTACCCACCTGGCTGTAGTTCGAAACAAAGTTACATCCTTAACTTGTCGGGATGAAAATGCATCTGCCATTGCTCCTATAGTTTCAAACCAATGTGAAACTGAAGCATCTTCTCCCATTCATTGCGAAGACGTTTCGGTTTCTATGGACGAGTCGATGTCAACCTGTGATTCCTTCAAGAGTCCACAAGTAGTAGAGTACATCGAAAATGATGAAGTTTCTGCTGTAGAATCTGTCGAGAGGAAGGCACTGAGTAATCTGTACATAACAAAGAATTCGGAGACAACGGGTATCACTCCTGTGTAGCAAGTTCTCCACTTAGATTCGAGTTTTGTCCTATGCCTCTTTGTTGTTGGAATTTGATTAATCGGTTTCCTTGCAGGTAATTTCTGCAGCAGAGATGCTCTGTCTGAGATGGAGACAGAAAAAGATAAAGCCATGAACATTGATAGTAACTATGACGATCCACAGCTATGTGCAACATTTGCTTGTGATATTTACAAACATTTGCGTGCTTCCGAGGTATATGGATCTTTTCCGTTCTCTTTTTCGAAAACGAATCTCTTTCGAATGGCATTGTGTTTACAAATTCTTTACCCTCCATTGCTTGTGTTAGGCAAAGAAGCGACCAGCAACAGACTTCATGGAGCGTGTTCAGAAAGATGTAAATGCCAGCATGCGAAGCATACTCATTGATTGGCTTGTTGAGGTAATTTAGACAACATCATTTGAAGAATCCTTGAAGGGTTCATTTTCACTTGTAGAATTTGTGATAATTGCTTGTATTTATGTGCCAATCTAGAACTAACCTCAAACTGGAATTGCAAATGGCAGGTTGCAGAAGAGTATAGGCTAGTACCAGATACATTATACTTGACAGTGAACTACATAGATAGGTATCTTTCTGGGAATGTGATTAGCAGACAGAGACTTCAGTTGCTTGGTGTCACATGTATGATGATCGCAGCGTAAGAACATAAATCTCGGCTCGTTTTGTTTGTGGTAAAAGAATTAAGATTGATGTGAGACGTAATGAATATAACAAGGATCAAATATCTGAATACGGCAGGAAATACGAAGAGATTTGTGCACCTCAGGTGGAGGAATTTTGTTACATTACAGACAATACATACTTCAAGGAAGAGGTTTGTTCTTTTATTAAATTGGCCAAAGTTACTATAACTCAACTAAAATCTTACATCTGACTTCTCTGGCTCTGCAGGTTCTGGAAATGGAATCTTCTGTTCTTAATTACTTGAAGTTCGAAATGACGGCTCCAACACCCAAATGCTTCCTAAGGTTGCAAAACCGCTTCTTTGTCATGGTTGTTTTTTCCTGTCCCTTGATTCATCACAACACCCACTGACTTTATGATTCTTGAATTTGGATAATCAGACGCTTTGTCCGCGCTGCCCATGGGATTACTGAGGTATATTTCTCCCTACAATGCGAAAAAGAAAGTAGTAGACAGTCATATATAGTGACGCTTGATTGCTAAACAATTCTTGATTTCTTTACTTGTAACAGGCGCCGTCTATGCAATTAGAATGCTTAGCAAACTACATTGCCGAATTATCTCTTCTCGAATACAGCATGCTCTCTCATTCTCCGTCGCTTATAGCTGCATCGGCGATTTTCTTGGCTAAATACATTCTAGACCCCACAACAAGACCATGGGTTAGTTGTCATGAGAAAATACTCGTTTGCTATAAATGCTGATAAATTTCTTGGTTTTCCTAAACCGGGTTAGATTAAATCTCGCAGAATTCGACGCTGAAACATTACACGCTGTATGAGCCGTCGGAATTGAGAAAATGCGTGAAGGGTCTTCACGGGTTGTGTTGTAATGCACACACCTCGACTCTGCCTGCAGTAAGAGAGAAGTACAGCCAACACAAAGTAAGTAGATATGGAAAAAAAATCTGGTTGTAGATATGTAAAATGTAACATTTGTCTTGACCTAGAATTGTGGTTTCTTGCAGTACAAGTTTGTGGCGAAGAAGTTCTGTCCTCCCATAATCCCATCGGAGTTCTTCCACAACTACTACTGAATCTTGTGGATTTCCAGAGTCTTTGGGTAAAATTTCATGAAAGCTGTTCCAATTCTGCGTTGGATCAAGTTCCTGTGAAAATCTATACATTGTAATACAAGTGCTGTTATACTTTTTTTTATAATCCGGAAATTAATGAAACCTTTGATCCTACTATATAATTCAAACGGTCGGAGAAATCCGGATGAATTCGCTTCTCCACATTTGAATTTGAACCCGAACTAAAAATATGGTTTACATGCTTTTTTTTACCATTAGCCACCCAAACATGGTTTACATTTTTTTTTATAACCAGGATGATTCCCCGGGTTTTCGACCCGACCACATCCACCCTAGGTTCGGGACCAGCCTTTGTATATGGACCATTTTAATCCAGAAATTACATCTATTCCCCCAGTGGAATCAAACTCATGACCTCGATGATGACTTTGTCATCTCTCAGCCAACTGCGCCACCAACTGTTGGGTGTTTTACATATTTTCTTAATAACTTATAGACAAAAAAAATAATAATAATAGCTAGTTCGGTTTGTAGGAATTCCTTCCTTGATTTTGTGGCCTTAGAACTGTAGGATTTCTTTTTTGTAATTGGTGCAAAGGCTTCAATCAACTTTGAAGGAATTAATAATGGTACGATTTACGCGTATAAAAGGTGTACGCAACCATCAAACCCCGATGACAAATATTCTCTTTCCATATTAAATGTTTTTTTTATATTAAGATACTTACTAGATGATATTTTTCCTACTTACTTTTTCCAAGAATATTCTAAAAAAACACAGTCAAAACTTTTGCTCGAGAAAATGGTGTGTGTCTAGATAATATCATATAATAAAAGTGTAAATTAAATAGATGCAGAAGAAAATGTACTTCCTTATACTTTTTATTAATTCAGAAAAAAAATAATACAATTGAACATGTCTTATTTCGTTTTGATAAACTTAAAATCAATAAATCCTTGTCCATGAATGTTCAATGTGCAAAAAGTTCATGTAGTTTGTTTTGTTTATAATGTGATTCCTTTTCTTTGCTCTTTCAACTTGAAGGCATTGTTTTATTTTTTATCAAAAAATTATTAGTTGAATTCGATTTATCAAAACCATAAAAATTTAGATTGTGATATCACGATAAATTGAAAGATATTTATTGCTATTTTTTTTTTAAAAATTAAATAGATAAGAGTTTTTTTAGTGGAATTCATAACGTTTTGGAGGAAAAAAATTACATAAAAAAATATAAAAATATATAAACTATAAAATTACATAGTATAAATTGGCTTTGTCCATGTTAATTGGGAAAACTATAAAGCAAGCTGAAGGGCCATTCCGACTTCAGCTCTTGACATAAATAAACTCTAAGAAAACAACATGTTTCATTTCTTTTTATTGTTTTTGCGGGTATATATATATATATATATATATATATATATATACACTATATGATTATTATATATACACCCACGCACATGTATATCCGCACACGAATATATAATAGATATTTTGTGTCATTTGGATATGGAAATCCGCTAAGCTAAGAATAAAATTGGGTGGTCTTCGAGCAAGTAGAACCTTCTTTGTTATTGAGAAAGATGGCTATCGTTTTATATACAATCTCCTACCCACTTTATTCTTGATTTTTTTTTTTAATATTTCTTTGAGAATTTAAATAAAACAAAGAAATAACAACTTCCAAACATATATTCTCATTATTGATGTTGTCTTTTATAAAATTACGCAACTAATTTTACATAATAAATTCAATTTCGGGTAAAGCGCATTAAATATGGTATGGTTACAGATGTTTTGCCCTTTATTAATCTTATTTCCTTTTTTAGTCGAGAAAAAAAAAAGGAATAAGACGATATATAGCCCACCTACGAATATTTTGAATTGATATCTATAACTGAGCATAAAAATACATATAGCCATTTTTTAGCTTGCACCAGAAGTGGTATATACATATAAAAATAATTCTTCCCAATAAATTATATTTAAAATTAGTTTTTTTTTAAATTATTTATTAATATAATTAAAAAATATATTTTATCATTTTCTGTTTTCCCATTTGAGATATTTCTACACCCCTAATAAAATCATTACATATATATATATTTATATTATCGTTGAAAAATATTACTAAAAAGTACTCCACTTATAAGAAGATTCGGGATATCTAGACTCCATTTTTTGACCAACTAGTATTAAAGTCTGGCATTTTTTTTTTGTTAAAAATTAAAGTCTGGCATTTGAATGAGTTAAATTTATTGAATTATATCATGCTAACTTACAGTATAACTTATTACATTTTTATAAAAATGACTTATAAACCATAATAAAATATTACAATTAGTAAGTAGCATTTGACATTATTCTCTCATGAATGATCGCAATCAAATTAGAACAGTATACAAAGTACCCTGTTTATTGATTACAACTGTTGCTAAATATATATTGAAATCTGTAAGATTTCTAAACTGCTCAAGAGAATATGAAAAATTCATGCATCTTTTTTTGTTTTGTAGAATATTATTTATTGAGTGTGTGTGTGTGTGTATATATATGTATAAAGAAATGCTGAAATTCTGCGAATGGCCAAGGTCGATCATTCTTTATATTGATGGGCATGAAACGATGAAGATGGAACCCTATTCCCCTACAATAAGGATGGATGAGAATCCATACACGTGAAATATTTTTTAAATAATTTCAGAGGTTCTCTTTTAAAGGTATGATAAATCATAAATAAAAATCTAATATATATATATATATATATATATATATATATTACATTGTGCAGTTGCACGAGACGTGTGGGTATATATATATATGTATAGGTTTGGTCCTTGATTATTTCCATGCACAACCGACTGAGAAATGATGCATAAACACTTCCTTTGATTTTTTATTTTTATATATATATTCTATTAATATAATAATCAAAGTCCGAGCAGCTCGAACCATTCACACCTTATTTTAAAAAACCAAAGAAGAAGATCCAATTGAAGAGCAGAAGAACACTGAAAAGGTAAGCTACTTATTTTTGTTACCACTGTTTTTTTTTATCATAAATAAAATCATTACTCGTTATGTTTTGATGATAAATTTTTTTTTAAAAAAACTGATCATTGAATGCTAACATAATAATCTAGGCGGAATTTTACATAATTATATATTACAAATTTTTCATTTAAAGCAAAAACTTTGATCAGGTAATAAACTTTAGTGAGATTATATTTTATTGCTACACAAATATATAAGATGTGCATATATATAGACAAATAAGTCAAATTATTATATAATTAAATTTCATGCGCTAAAATTGATAGAGACCAAGAGGGTAGCTGCGGAAATTAAGACCAACGATTTTAAAATATCTGTAATACCTCAAGGAAAAAATAGTAATTTATGATAAACGTATAAATATTTCTACTGCAAAAGAAAAAAAACTAAGTACTCGTCGACAAACATATTCATATATGTTGAAAATGAAATTATATGTTTGTTTGACTTTAATAAAAAGATCCGAAATGCCGTGCAACCGTCGAAAGTTGGACTCTTTCCAGCAACAGACTTCATGGAGCGTGTTCAGAAAGATGTAAATGCCAGCATGCGAAGCATACTCATTGATTGGCTTGTTGAGGTAATTTAGACAACATCATTTGAAGAATCCTTGAAGGGTTCATTTTCACTTGTAGATCCCTTTTTTTTTAATAATATTAAATAAGCTCGGAGGACATTGTGGCAGTGCAGATCTCTCGTCTCCACTTATACAAGCTTGTAGCTATGGACCCGAATTTCACTTTTTATTTTTTCATTTAAAATTACATATATATATATATATATATAAATATACACGTTCATTCAAATTCGTTCGATATTAAGTATTCACGTTTTTCTTAGAATCTGAAAATGGTAATTCAAATTAGTATACAAATGCCTAAATTATTGCATAGTTTGTTTGCCTGATGTTTACCAACTTCTTTCCCTGTCTTTTGCAATTCAAAATTTTCTCTATAACATTTTCTTTGCATTTGGTTATCCGAGATATTTTTTCTTAGCTAGATATCACATATCTATTTTCTAAAATAGGCAAAAATAAATATCTTTACCAAACAAAAGAAAAAAATAAATAGAAATGTTTTATTTAAATATACATCTTATTGATATATTTTTTACAAATTAATTATATAAATCTGAATTGAATATTAAAATAAATAAAATGGAACATAAATAGAATTTATATATATATATATATATATATTAGAAACTGTTATTCAAATAAAAAATAATTTTAATCGAACTAAATTGCATATATATACATATATATCATAATGTAAAATTTGAACACTAAATAGTCAAGAATATTGCATTATTTTATGTTGACGGAGGAGAGCGAGTTCGAGACAAGACTTCCAACGCGTCTCTACTTTTTCTCCTCCATAATTTTATAATCGTCTAACAAAAATACAACATACAAAAAAAAAAGATCACATGCAAATTTTTTCTATCAACTCTCTCCTTGTCTTCCATGGCGGATATATATATATACACGCACTTGCTTCTGCACTTGTGTTGAAGTATAGTATACACATATATAAATACACAAGCTTCCCTGTTTCTCTCAGATTTGCTTCATTTTCCCTCTCTTGTTCGATTTTCCATTTAATTTTCTTACGATTACAGAGAAAATTCTGTCCGATCGAGGGAAGCAAAAAAAAAATCTGAGAGAAAAAAAATCCGTTATTGGTCTGAAATCAAACACACCCATCTCTTTCTGTCTTTGTTTCTCCCACTCTCTCTCTAGACACACACATATATTTGTCTTATGTAAGAAGGAAAAGATAATGAGTTTCTTCTGCATTAGATAAGCGGTCCACGAGGTTTGATAAGCAGTCAAAGCTTCGACCTTGTGAACTTTTTTTTCGGGAGAAAAAAAATAAGAATATTTGGGTTTCTGGATTTTTGTTTGTTTAATGCGTTGAAGAAGATGGTCGGGACCGTGAAGAACACGCAGAGTTTCGTTGTCTCCATTGATGTCCTGCCGAAAAGCAGTTCCGATTTGTTCGATGATGATGGTCGTCCCAAGAGAACCGGTAATTTACTAAATTGTCTATCCTTATATTTTCATTCCAAGCTAAAAAAAAAAATTAAAAAGAAACTTTTTTTTCCTGTTTAACTCGCTTCGGATCAGAATTTGGATTGAAAACCTACAAAATGTTTCTGGGTTTGCCGAGTTGGTTCATGGAGAAACACTGCTTTCTTCTGATTATGACTAAAACCCTATGCCAAATCAGAACTGATATGGTTATGTGGCTGGTGATATTGGATCAGGAACTGTATGGACAGCAAGCGCACACATAATAACAGCAGTGATAGGATCAGGAGTGTTGTCTTTGGCATGGGCAATGGCTCAGCTTGGCTGGGTAGCAGGGCCAGCTGTTATGTTCTTGTTCTCACTCGTCACTTACTACACTTCGATTCTCCTCTCTTCCTGCTACCGCTCCGGCGACTCTGTCTCCGGCAAGAGGAACTACACTTACATGGATGCTGTCCAAGCCAACCTCGGTACCAACCAAAAAAAAAAAAAAAAACTTTCCATGTTTTTAACTTTCAGCATCTGGGCATGTTCGAGTTTTCCGATCTCTTCGCGATCTGGGTTTTGCGAATCGTGTTGAAACTTTCGATAATTGTGCCGTATGGGTTTCGCTCAAAATCCCTGAATTCAATCTGGGCATGTTCAAGTTTGAATCTTTTTCACTCAAGCAAAAACAAAGTCTGAACCTTTGGATAATTTCCCAATCTGGTTTTGCTCAGACTCTCTGAGTTTTTTTTTTTTTTTTTTTTGATAAAACAGAATCTCTGAGTTCAATCTGGGCACGTTCAAATTTGAATCTTTTCTACTCGAACAAAAACAAAGCTTGAAACTTTCGATAATTTTTCCATCTGGGTTTTGCTCGGAATCTCAAATTGATTTCATCTATTTTGGGGTAAATTTCAGGGGGTGTGAAGGTGAAGTTATGCGGACTTGTTCAGTACCTTAACCTCTTTGGTACTGCGATCGGTTACACTATTGCATCAGCCATAAGCATGATGTAAGTTAATAAATCTCGTTTCCAACTATTTTGTATTGAATTGTCCTTATGTACTGTTCTCATTTAGACAACAACTTCGGAACTCTGTTTGACCGTTGTTGTTGTTGTGGTTAGATGCGTGACCCAATTTTCCTTTGAACTCGTCACTTTTGTTCTAAACTAATCTTTACTTGGTCTAAACCATTCAACTACATATTGTTATCTCAAGTCATTATAGGGATGGTTTCATTGGCTAACTTGTGAAAACTTTGTTTCCGAATGGAAAACAGAGCGATCCAACGGTCAAATTGCCACCACAGAAGCCACGGGAAAGATCCATGCCATATCAACGGCAATCCATACATGATAGCTTTCGGAGTAGCGCAGATAGTGTTCTCTCAGATTCCGGACTTTGATCAGTTATGGTGGCTCTCCATTCTCGCTGCCGTGATGTCATTCACTTACTCTTCGATCGGCCTCGCCCTTGGCATCTCGAAAGTGACAGAGAATAAAGAAGTGAAAGGCAGTCTCACCGGAATTGGCCTAGGGACCGTGACTCCGGCCCAGAAAGTCTGGAGAAGCTTCCAAGCTCTCGGGAATGTTGCTTTTGCATACTCTTACTCTGTCATTCTCATCGAAATTCAGGTGAAGGAAAAAAAGGCTACATTCCCTCATGTTTTTCGGTACATATCCTTACACTAGAGTTGTCTGAAAGAGGATTTTGATCGATGCAGGACACGTTAAAATCGTCGCCAGCAGAAGAGAAGACGATGAGGAAGGCGACCCTTATAAGTGTAGCAGTGACAACAATGTTCTACATGCTTTGTGGATGCATAGGCTATGCAGCATTCGGGGATATGTCCCCGGGAAATCTCCTAAGTGGAGGATTCTTCAGCCCGTATTGGCTCCTCGACATAGCCAATTTAACCATAGTGATCCATCTGGTCGGTGCATACCAAGTCTATTGCCAGCCCCTCTTTGCATTCGTCGAGAAACAAGCATCAAAGCGGTTTCCGGACAGCAAATTCATCACAAAGGAGATCAAAATCCGGTTCTTCCCGGGGCTAAAGCCTTACAACTTGAATCTTTTCAGGCTAGTGTGGAGGACGTTTTTCGTGATTCTAACCACGTTGATCTCCATGCTCATGCCTTTCTTCAACGACGTACTCGGTCTCTTGGGGGCGATAGGGTTTTGGCCTCTCACCGTGTATTTCCCCGTGGAAATGTACATATCACATAACCGGATACAGAGGTGGAGTACGAGGTGGGTTTGTCTTCAGATCTTGAACTTGGCTTGTCTTGTTGTTACTGTGGTCTCAGCCGCAGGATCCGTCGTCGGAGTTATGACAGATCTCAATACCTACAAGCCCTTCAAGACAGATTTCTGATTTCATACTACACATTGGATTGTTTCAGAGAGAATCCATCAATAATCTTCCTGATATTCGGATCTCTCGTGACTTAAAATTTTAAGAGTTGTTGTTCATATTGTAATGCCCTAATTAACCTCTTGTTGTATTTGGTGTTGATTTCCTTTTCCATGCAAACTTTTATATATATATATATATATATATATATATATATATTAAGAATTGTAAACCTTATGTTGCTTGCCAAAGGCATGCTTCTTGTTGAATGTTGAATTAAATTAGATGAATCCTAATATCAATTGTTATATTATTGTAATTATGATATAAAAAAAAACACTTGTTCCAATGTATTTGACAGGAATTATTTGTTACAATATTGTTGCTCACAACATATCTCAAAGATCAATATTATTGATGTGTTCCTTCCTCATATGAAAGATTCAGTAAGATAGACAAGCTATGTGGGTTAACTAAGGTGTTTTCATAAATAAATAAAAAAAAAAAGTGAAGCAAATATATTTGTATTTAATTGTGATAATATTTAATATATTATATAAGGTTGTGTCAATGGAGGAGGAAAGAGAAGAGGATGAGTATGACTTGTCAAATTCATACGGGTGGGTCCAATCTCGTTGACATCCATATAGCATATGATGTACTTCAAATTTGGAAATCATTTGTCTTGTCTCGTTGTCACCATCGAAGAATGTGACAAATTTCCTTTCTGCACCAAAAATAAAAATAAAAATGAATTTGATAAGTTTCATTGTAAATTAGGGTAAATTTTATTTTTCTTATTAAATTCAAGAAGCTATAACCATTTTGTGGATTAGGACTTTATAATTTGATACATTTGACTTTGCGTCATGTAAATACTATTTATATATGATATGGTTTAGGTCTAATTAAGATTAATGTTATTATATGTAGAAGACCCTACGGAATTAAAAGGGTATATAAAAAAAAACGTCTGAAATTTTGTTTGACATTTCAATATTAGCATGATTATTCATTTTTTCAATAATTGATGGTACTACTAGAACCAATCTTAATTGGTGGTGGACCCACTTAGTGGTTTGGGTTGCAAATCCTTTGACCAAGACCAAAGTAAAATAGATTGCAAAAAGATAAATTATATTAAAAAAAAAGACCAAAAAAAATCAAAGAGACCTGGTTGACATGCCCAGTTTTGTCTGCTGGCAAGAGTGAGAAACCTAGTTGGTGATGCTCTTCGAGCGGTGGTTGACGTTGTCTCGTGACTGTTACTGTCCCTTCCGACGAAATCAATGGAGGTCCGATCCAAGATTCGTTTGATGGGACGAGGATTCGGTTTGTGCCCTCGAGTAAAGGTGCGATCGAAACGCTAAGCAGAAGAAGATTCGAGAAGATGAGTTGCGAGGATGATGATGAGAAGTGTGCGATCTGTCTCAGAGATTTCGTCGTCGGAGAGAAAGTTGCGATCTTGCCGTGCACCCACGAGTTTGACGACCGTTGTATCGTCAAGTGGCTCGAGACGAGTCACGTCTGCCCTTTGTGCCGGTTCGAGTTGCCCTGTGAACCAGAACCGGAAAACAACAGGGGACAGCATTAGACACTGTTCTTTTTTTTTTTTTTGGTTACGTTTGGTCTTTGTCTCTGTGTTAGCTGTGTACTTGGCAGAAGCGGAAATTGATACCTTAACAGTGTCGATAAAGATTACCCTTTTCTTGAAAGCCCTGTTTCTCTTGACCTGAAACCCTAGTTTTCATTCATGGCTGATCATGAAATTACCAGAATTGTGACACCAGGCAAACTGGGTAAGATTTTCCGAGAAGCCAAAGCTGCGGATCGGCTGCTTGGGGCGAGAGAAACTGCAAGAAAGTAAGGGATTGACAAGAAAATTTGCACTGCACATGGAAAATAATCTAAGTGGCGTACACTGGATCCATGTATATTCTTTCATCCAGATGAATCCACAGGCGTCGTTGCTGGGGGAAGGGATAACGGGGGAAGGAATACTGGCATAGTTGAATCCGGAAACGGGGATTCCGATATACGAAGCAGAGCCATTGCTATTGTTCTTCATACTGTTCACGTTGCTTGGTGCCATTAATTGGAGCTCCTGGGGAGACTGGCGCAGTTGGGAATCGCGTTTTCGTTGATAGGAGAGATAATAACAGGGAAAGGAGCATTGGCTCAACTCAACTTCGAGACCGGTCTCCCCATCACTGAGATCGAACCCATCGTTTTGTTCAATGTCGCCTTTTTCTTCTTCGCCGCCATTAATCCCGGCACCGGGAGGTTCATCATCGACGAGGAAGACTAATGCAACTTTTTTTCTTTTAATTGTATGGTAGTCCCAAAAATTAATTAATGTGAAAAAAGTACCACGTTGTGTAAAACAGGAGTATTGGTAAAGCTTAAAAAAAGATGGATCTCTTAATAGAAAGGCCCCATTCTTTATAATTAAAAAGCAGCAAGATGTCAAAAGTCCCACATCGGCCAATTCGATAGATTCATTAGACTACATAATTAATGTTCTGGCAACTCTCCAGCGCCGAGCCTGGTAACGCTGGCTTGTAACCTGAGTGGGGGCAACAAGGTGATGGGACTTTGTGTCGGAGTATTGGGCCGGGTTCGGTTTGGGCAATTGTCTGGTCCGCCCGTTCCAAGCCGGGAGATGGGTCACGTGGCTTAAGCGAAGGCTTTGGGCCACTTGTCTCTTAGTGTGGAGGGCACAGCGTGAGGCTGGTTTCACAGAGCAGCGATTACCTCCCGCTCTCGGCGGTGGAAGGATAACGGGCCGATGCCTTCCGAGCCCACTATGACCCAATGGTTCGACATCAAATTGGACCATCATTTTTTTCCCTCCGTCCGAAATGAATGCTTTTTTTTTTAAGTACTGGTTTCAATTTTCCGACTTTTAAAACGGATTTGAATCGGTTTAATTTTTTATATCTGATTCGACTTTGGTTTTAATTCGAATTTATTTGATAAAAAATTTGTTTATTTTAAATAATCGAATTTTATTCAGTTCGTTGTTCACACTAACTAATAATCGATTTTTATTCAGTTTGTTGTTCACACTAACTCGATTGTCCGTGTAATCATGCGGACATGATTACATGGACAAATTTTAACGGAGTGGTGCAAATAAAATAATAATGTTGTGAACAAATTTTAATATTTCACTAAGAAGATTCTTAGTGTGGTGGGAGTCTGATTATATTCAATGATAGCCGACCACAAAACTTGAAACAAAGAAATGGTGTTGATGACTCAAGTAATCGTTTAGTATTTTTTTCCCCTCAACTAACCATAATATATAAGTGCCAGATATAGAAAAAATTATATAATATTCTTCTACAATCATGTCTATCTAACTATAAATTACCATAAATGTGTATAACTTCAGTTTAACAAAAAAAATGATACACATATCCTATAAATTAAAATTTGAAATCTGTGGGCGGCGTTTCCAAGGTCAAAATGTTTGTCAATTCATGTAGTTAAAACACTTGAGAGTTCGTCTAATGCAAAGATATAAAGCATGCTATCTATTGTTTGGAACTATAGAATTGAAATTGCAGTCTAATGTTTTTAGATTGATAAATCTATCTATAACTTTTATATATATCATTAGTAGTAGATTATAAAAACCCATTCTAAATATATCTATCTATTCGATTTGAATTTATTTTGTTTATTAAGTTTTTGAAAAATGAAATCCATGGGTTTTATATGGAATGTTAATTCTATTTGATTATATGTTATTAAAATAATTAATTTTCTAAATATACAAATGGAAACAATCAATTCTTATTTAACAAGTAAACGACAAATGTGAACATACAAAAAAAATTGTTCCCCCGCTATGTACACTACACTGTACACACACGGAAGCGCGTAGACGGGAGAAGAAATTAAAGTAGGTTAGAACCCGCTCTCTCTTCCAGAGACTCTCTGCTTCTTTTCTTATTTATTTTTTCCAGAAAAGAAAAAGAAAATAAAATAAAATTATTCCTGTTGTGAAAAGTCTCTTTCTTCGTCTTCTTTTCCTTGGATCGTCTCTGCATCCTGCGGCGTCGTGGGGAAGTTGAAGTAACCCCCGAATCGAGGCGTTACACGTTCCTCCAACCAGCCAATCAACGATCGCCACGTAACCATTTCCTGTTCGCGCGCTCCCGGTGAAGTTCGATTCCGGCGACGATCAGTTAAATCCTCTGTACTTGTCTGGGGATTGGTACTTTTGTCTCCGTCGTGTGCGCAATCGGAGACGGAGACGGAGACGGAGACGTTGACGATGGTAAGATTTGATTCGGTTGGGGTCAACCACGCTCGTTTTAGCGGCAACCAGCAGTTTTCTTCTCCGTCCTTCTCTTCCTCTTCTTCTTCTTCTCTCCGGCATGTCAATTACAGGTAATGTCAATTTTGTGGAATCTGCCGCTCAAGAAAGTAAGGGA